AAACCTTAGTGATCTGCATTTGCACGTATATTAAGTAGCATGCTATACCGTCGAATATGATTCTTATCTTTTATATCGAGTGGGTGTCAGTATCTCTTAGAGTTAGAGCTCTAGCAACTTTGAGTTATTACAAACTTATTATGAATTGTTTATGTGCTTTCATGTTTGTCGTGGTATTGTAGTATATGTTGTAATTTGATAGCATAATTCGTCTGATGTATTGTTTTCTTTATGTAGAAAGAAAAATCATGCCAGATAAAAGCGTGAGTTGCTTGTGTTGTCAATGACGATTGGATAAGTTAGAAACCATATATAGTTCTGCTACAAAGATACATTAAATTATTTTCACATGTGTTGCGGATAAACATTAAATGGTTGGATGGTACTTAGAGTATCCACATTAAACTTTCATTTTTAATTGCAAATTGATGTGGCAATGAAAATGCAATTGAATTACCAATTACATAGATGCGAGTCTCAATTGCAATTCCCATGTAAGCATTTTTTACTTTTATAATTTTTTTATGGGTAATTATCATAAATGGTCACAAAACTATTCACTTTGTACAAAATGGTCACAAATCTTTAATTTTGCACGTTTCGGTAATAAAGGTTTAAGCGAATAACGAAATGGTAAATCCGTCCATCTCCATCCAAAAAACCGTTACTTTTGTCTAGTCAGCACGCCTCGTCATTTAAAATATTAATAAAAAATTAATGAGCAAATCCAATTGAACTGATACCCAACTAAAAACCCTAATTTTATACCCACCCATCGGTTCCGCCATCGATTCCGGCGACTCCAGCACTGCCTCCCCATCGCCGCCATCTCCTCCCCTCTCCAACGGAAATATAATAGCAAATAAAAGAGAATTGAACTCGTTCAAATCCCTAGTTGGAAGCGAACACTCTGGATCCCAATCATTACAGAGCACATCGCAGGCAACTGGAACAGCTTCATCCCCCACCTTCAACTCCAATGCCTTTGTGCCATTCTTGCTCTCGTAAGAATTATTGTTGCCTGAGCTTGAGGTGGAGGCTCGTACCGACACCCCGCAGTGTCGTCTGAAGGAAATCAACGACTGCGGCGAGAGATTGGAGCGCGAGGGTTTAGCTGAGATTTGGCCGGGGAAACTAAGGATCGCGTTCAGGGGCCAATGGGGTGATGGGTAAAGGGTTTGTTCCGACCGGTTGGACTTTCGGGTTAAGTCGGCTGATTAATTATTTTTTAATTAATATTTACACTGACGTGTCATGCTGACAGGGCGATCTAGGACGGAATTTGGAACGGAATTGGACGGATTTACCGTTTCGTTATTCGTTCAAACTTTTATTACCGAAGCGTGCAAAATTAAAGGATTGTGACCGTTTTGTACAAAGTAAATAGATTTGTGACCATTTATGATAACTACCCATTTTTTTATTTGTTTTTCTTATTACCTCTTTGCTGGCGGAATTTCTTTTCACAATGGCAGAAGCTTTTTTTTGTTTCCTTTTGATTTTCAATTTGATAGGCGGCCATCCATATAGTTTTTTTTTTATATTTAAATTTATATGTTGGGATTTGCAAGACAAGTATAATTAGATTATAGTGTATTTTTCCCACTTGTGCTGAGAATATGAAGGATTTTCGACCTATCTCGTGTTGTAACACGTTGTACAAAGGGATTTCAAAACTTTTGGCTAATAGGCTGGCACAGGTGCTTCCCAGTGTGATAAGTAGGTCTCAATCTGCGTTTATCAAAGGAAGGGCTATTAGTGATAACATCCTTTTAGTTTCTGAACTAGTGAGGAACTATCACTATAAAAATTTGAGTCCTAGATGTGTGGTAAAGATTGATATCATGAAAGCTTTTAACTCAGTAAACTGGAATTTTTTGTTTACTGTGATGGATGCAATGGGGTTCCCACCTGGATTCTTAAAGCTTCTTACTGCTTGTGTTACTACTCCTACAATTAAAATAGCCTTGAATGGGGGATTATGTGGAAATGTTAGGGCTAAAAAGGGTTTAAGGCAGGGTGACCCTCTGTCACCTTACCTATTTACCATTGCAATGGAAGTCCTGGATGGACTTGCTCGAAAAGCAGCAAGGGAGAATCAGATCCCTTTCCATCCACGTTGTAAGCCATTAATGATCACGCATCCTTGCTTTGCGGACGATTTGATGGTTTTCACGAATGGATCAGTGAGGGAGGTGGCAGGTATAAGGAGGTTGATGGATGAGTTCTATGTTCTATCTGGTTTGAAGTGTAATGCAGCTAAGTGTCAGTTGTTCTGTGCTGGAATATCTAAGGAAGAACAGCAGTATATCTCCACTATAACTGAATTCCCTCTTGGCTCTCTTCCTGTTATATATCTAGGAGTGCCTTTGATAACTGGAAAGCTCTCTAAGCAAGATTGTCAAGTGCTGATTGATAAGATTACTCAGAGACTTAGAAGCTGGCGGTCTCGTTTATTGACATATGCATGTCGTGTCCAGTTGATTTCATCTGTCATCTCTAGTACATTGCAATACTGGCTCAACATCTTCCTGCTTCCTAAGTATATAATTAAGGAGGTAGAAAGATTGTGCAACGAGTTTCTTTGGGACTCAGCAGAGGGGGGTGCAAGAAAGAAAGATGTGATGGCTTGGCATAAACTTGCAATACCTAAACGTGAAGGGGGGCTGGGAATAAGAAACTTCAACCTCTGGAACAAGGCTCATGTATTTAGACATATATGGGAGATTCTAACAAGCGGTGGATCACTCTGGGTAGCCTGGATCTCACGGTATCAGTTGAAGCAGAGGAGCTTTTGGGACATATCGATTTCATCTGCAGGGACATGGATTTGGCGGTAATTTCTGAAGTGTCGTGATTTTGCTGCTGCTTATATTTCAGGTGCTCCCCCCAATTTGTTATGGCAAGGGCAGAAGATGCAAAAATACTCAATTAAACGAGTGTGGGAGGCTAGTAGGGAACGCAAGCAGACTATGGAATGGCGTCGGCTGGTATGGTCTAAGGAAATTATTCCTAGACATGGTTTCATTCTGTGGATGTTTTTGCATGATAGATTGGTGATGCAGGATAAGCTCCTGGCTTGGGGCAAACAGGTATCTGGGCTGTGTCTTCTATGTCCTGGTGGTGTAGAAACTCGTAACCACCTCCTGGTCTCATGTCCCTATACTATATCGGTTATACGAAGATGTTTGAAGCAGCTGGCTCCTCTAGGGGAAGGGGACTGGACTACAGTGGTGTCCTGGTGCTCTCGACAGTGGGGTAAAAAGAATCCAAGGCATGGTTTATGTCGATTAATGTGGAGTTCAGTAATCATTTTTGTTTGGCGTGAGCGATGCAGTCGGTTGTATGGTACCAAAGGGATACGACATCCTGATGTGTTAGCAAAGCAAGTGCAAGCTGATGTATCTTATAGAGTTTCCAGCGATCCTGCCCTCCAGACAGAGTTAGAGCATATAGATAGCATACCTTGATAGGTTTTACGGTTCAGTTGTAATTGTTTGAGAGGCACATCAAGATTCCCCTTGGTGTTTGCCGGAGCTTAATACAAGTTTTTTGATTTCGCATAAAAAAAAGAAAAATAAGAAAATCTATTTCCATAATAATAATATATGAATGAAATAGTAACCTTATATACCTTTTATTATATAAAAATATAATTTATGGCAAATATACAATTGCAAGTTAATTGTATTGAAGTAAATGAATGAAATTAAAGTGATATGGATTGGAAAAAGTTTAAGTTGACAATAAAGATGACAAATACAATTGATGTGGAGGCTCTTATCCCATAGAGGCTAGGGCACCCACATCGGCTAACATTCTCTACACCTTGCAAAGTGAATATCAATGATGCATGAACTGCTTGCAATTGTGCAAGCTTTCATATAATGAAAGTCTATATGCAATTCAATGTGTCTGGCTGGTGGATTTTGGCTCCTTTCTTTTATTTAAATAATATAAAATATATTTTAGGTGTGTTATTTTTTGAATTACAATTGCAAGTGAATTGCATTTATATAAATACAATTAAATTTAAATGAGTTGGATTGCATAATTGTTGTCCAATTGGTTTTGCAATTGCATTGATAGAGATGCTCTTAACACAAATTACTTAACATGCAAACAAACTTCTAATCAGAGCCGTCGATAGTTACTTCACGAGTCTAGTGCTTTCTGTCAATGCAAGGAATTGTTGTTTTTGTTCTTATCCTGAGCTATTTATCATCTTCTCGAAACTCTATTTTGAGTTATTACTAGGATTGTTGTATGCACACGTGATTGTCATGATGTTGTAATGTATATTGTCCTCTGATAATAGAAGTTGTCGGATGTAATATTATTTCTTTAAAAACAAACTAAACCCTAATAAAGTATGAGTTGCTTATGTTATCAAATAAAAGAATAAGTTAGTTTGAAAGTGTGGTTAAAAGAATCTTTTATTTAGTGTCAACTTGTATTGTCTTTACCTACGACTGAATAGCCTGATGCTTTCTAGCACAAACTAATTTTTCCATTTTGGGTACTTGTGCATACTGGCTCCTAGCTAGCGTTAAAGTCAGTTTTGGCATTAATGGAAGCATACAGTGATGAAATTGCTGTTGGAAAGAAGCAAAAGCTCATTTCACTTTGTTTCATATTATACCCACAAAAGTTGAAGTTACTGTGCCTAAGTGACAGTAAATAAGGCTTAAAATGGGATGGTGGTAAAAAGAGAGTAAAAGCATAACTCCCCAAAATGACTAGAATGCAAGTTTAAGACGACTCATGGTAAGAGAAAAGTAAGGAGCTCTGCTCCATCATCTCCATTCTCCATAGTATTAAAACCAAAAGATATCACCATTGGAGTTGTTCTTCAACACTACTTGGTAAATTTCACATAGAACAACACTAACATGGTGCAACACTAGTAGAATACACAAACAAAAGCATCCACTCATGGATAGCTTCACACATCAAAGAGCACAATCTACAGCATCCGGTGTTAAACGACGCACATTCATTCAAACCGCAAATTCTGCTGGAGACGAAGAGGATGTGTCGTTAGTCGGTGCAGTATTGCAAGCCGAACTTATCCCTCGCTCCCTCCTGCTATTTTCAGCAAACTTCAAGTTAGCTCGATGTAGCCCTTTCTCCTTCTCCTGTGAGCCCCATTCAGCCATGTAGTAATCCTCTTCGGTGGCAGACGACGACGACAATGATGGGTTGTTTCGACCGGCGGCGAAAAACATACCACCCCACTATGGGAAGTTGATCAAACATAGAGGGAGAGTGCAACAAATGATCATTATTCCCATGTGTGTGATTCCAGTCTCCTTGGAATATCTTGACCCTTTCAAGAACGTCAGTTGAGTTAACACTGCTCCCACGTTCCCACCTCCTCCCGTCATACCTGATATTAATCCTAACGACCTACATGCAGTGGTGGATCCAGGAATTTTACGTAGGGGTGTCCTCTATAAAAAAAATCAAATTAAATTAAATAATTATTAAATATGAAAATATCTAATTAATAAGTGTTTCGTTAAAAGTTCAGACGTGTTTCATCAAATGATAAAATGCATTCAGTGTTTATACTGCTCAACAAATATCTCTCGACATATCTTACTAGACAAGGATATCCCGTAATTGAGTTTAATCGTTAGGTTTTGAAAATAATTTGAGATAAAAATAACATCTTACTATTATATTTGGATCTAAAACACAATAACAAATGAGTTGTAGCGTAATTGAAAATATATTAACTAATAGTGACAGTGTCCCAAATTTAAATCACATAAATACTACTTAAATATTATTTATACCAATACGGAAACTACTACGGGAGATTGGATAATCATTTTCCCAAATTTTAAAGGTGTCCCACTACCACTTAAACAGTTTTTTTCTCATACGCATATTACTATCGTAGATTGAATAATCGTGTTTCCAAATTTTAGGGGTGTCCCGCCATGCATGTATCCGCCACTGCCTACATGCACGTATCCGCCACTGCCTACATGCACATACATACTAAATAGTATAGTTAGTAACTATACAAATACGTTACGGTACTAACATGTACAATATATCATCCACCTTCTGGAGACAAAGGGCACGACTCAAAAGGTTAGGCCACAAGCAGCTTGGTAGAAGAATGAGAAAAGGATCATAACAACAATGGAGCCTCCCAATGAATTGACCCGACCTAAAATTACCGCATAAGTTAATATGCTAACTGCTATATTCGTTAGCAGATACTCACAGGGCTGGATTAGGTGCCACGTCGGCCCATGTTTGATCCAATGGAGGAGAGACGGGCTCGTTGGTGGCTCACTTAAGTGAGCTGGAGGTGGGCTTCGGGCTAGAAGCCGGCCCAGCATGCGGCGCAGAAGGCGAGCCGAGGAAGTGGCTTTGTGGGTCCGCTTCAGTTTGGGGGGGATTTTGGAGAGGAGTGGAGAGAGAGAACGAAAATTGTGGGCCCGCAGTCCATGTGATCTTTATGTATGTTTGTTTGTGTGGATATTTATTTGTTTTCAGTCGATATTATTTTGTGTTGTGTTGATATTACTTTGCATCATTGTTGAAATGAACTAGTATTATTCCTTCGCAAACCAATATCCATCATTAAACTAATATTTACCAAATCCCAAAATAACCCAACCACCCGAAACTGATTACACCAATTTAGAGTTTAAGTTTAGGGTTTATGGTTCGGGTTTTCAATTTGTGAAGGATTGGAATATTGTTTCTTACATCAAATAAAAAACACTAGGAAATTAAACACACTAGGAAGTCCTAATACATAAGACTTGCAACCTTAGTTAGGGCTGCCCGCCGAGGGCCCATGGGCCGAAGGCCCATTAAATAATAATAGTTTTATGGTTTAGGATTTGTGGCTTTGTGGGCCCGCTTCAGTTTGGGAGGGATTTTGGAGAGGAGTGGAGAGAGAGAACGAAAATTGTTTATTTAAGCATCTAGCACTTTTATCCATAATAAAAAAGAGTTGTTTTATCGACTAACCGCGATAAAACTATCATTCAATGCCATTACAACTTGGCAATCCCAAAATCTCAAATCTGAAAACTAGCATTCAATGACATTATAATTTGAGCCAATGATGTGCCTCCACCTCCCCTTCTCATGCAGGAGCTGGAATCGAACAAATTTTGGATCTTGTCATCTTGCAAAATTCCTGAAATACATGAAAAGAAATCATTAGGCATATGCACAGTCCAGACTAATATCCATATAGGGCATACAAATATCCAGACCTAGCATAAAAATATCCATGCATCATGGGCATACTAAATATCGACATTCAACAAACTGGTATCCCAAACATGTTAAATAATATCTCAGGTCAACAAACTACCCTATATTAACGAGCAAAAATCAAAACCCCCAAAACAATATCCACATTCAACAAAATTGTATCCCAAGCATGCTAGATAATATCCCGATTGACAAACTACCTTATTAACGAGTAGAACTCAGAACCCCCCAAACAATATCCAAATTCAACAAATAGGTATCCCAAGCATGCTAAATAATATCACAGGTCAACAAACTACTATATTAATGAGCAAAACTAGTTGCCCCCAAACAATATCCACATTCAACGAACTGGTATCCCAAGCATGCTAAATAATTTTCCAAGTCAACAAACAAACATATTAACGAGTAAAACTTAGAACCCCCCAAATGGAAAGAATCTCAGATCCCCCAAATTGAATCCCAAGGCATAGAAAGAGAATCTCAAATTCCCCGACAAGAATCCCATATCCCTAACAACTAATCTCAAATCCAAAAAATGAAGCAAAAAAAAAAAAAAAAGAACTCAGATCCAATTGAATCCATGAACCCCTAAATCAAATAACAAGAATCCCGAATCTCCCAAATCGAATCCCAGATCCCAGCTATAGAAAATCCCAAATCCCCCAAATCAAAAGAAACCCAGATCCCACAAATCAAAATCCAAGGCACATAAAGCGAATCTCAAATTCCCCGATAAGAATCCCAGATCCCCAACAACGAATCTCAGATCCAAAAAATGAAGCAAAAAAAAAAAACACTCAGATCTATTCGAATCCATGAAACCCTAAATCAAATATAAAGAATCCCAAATCTCCCAAATCGAATCCCAGATCCCAGCCATAGAAAATCCCAGATCCCCCAAATCGAATCACAAGGCACCGAAAGTGAATCTCAAATCCTCCGACAAGAATCCCAAATCCGCAACAATGAATCTCAAATCCAAAAATCGAAGCAAAAGAAAGAAAACTCAGATCCAGTCAAATCCATGAAACCCTAAATCAAATATAAAGAATCTCGAATCGCCCAAATCCAATCCCAGATCCCAGCCATAGAAAATCCCAGATCCCCCAAATCGAATCACAAGGCACAGATTGCGAATCTCAAATCCCCTGACAAGAATCCCAGATCCCCAACAATGAATCTCAGATTCAAAAAACGAAGCAAAAAAAAAAACTCAGATCCAGTCGAATCCATGAAACCCTAAATAAAATATATGTAATCCAACATTCGTATCCATGAATCAAGGAAGGAGAAGGGTAAAACACCTACCTCAAAGATCTGCCTTCACCGTCACGTTGGTGCCCTCAATGAATCAGGAGAAAGGAAGACGTCTACCTCAACAACCTACTTCTCCTTACAGCCGTTGTCGTCTTCTTTCTCGCCCTACTGGCTTCGGCGTCTTCCTTCTTGCTCGGGCGACGTCGGCTTCCTTCAAGCATCGCCGTCTTCTCCTCGTGTCGTCTTCTTCCTGCCCGTAGCTCTCGTCGCCGATGTCGTGTTTCTCACACCCGTTATTGTCGAGAGATATTTTGAATTATCAGGAGAGAAAGAGAGAGAGAGAGAGAGAGAGTGAGGAAGGAGAAGAAGAGAAGAGAGAAAAAGAAGTCGACAGTTTTGGAGAGTGGGAGAGAAAGGAAAATGAAATGATGGAGAGCGAAAAGGAAATTAAACAGAAATGAAAAAGTGAGTTTTTTTGAATTGTGGGACCCATTTTTGTTTTAATTGTGGGAATAGGCTTGGTTTAGTCGAGCCACAAGCTGCTCTCTTTACCCTCCACCGTCCGATCGCGACTCGCCTACGCCTCAAATCCGACCGTGTTAGTATTGCTAACTCTTTAGCAGAATAACCCTATTGCATAATGCCGCTAAAGTCTGGACGAGCCATAGTGTCCGCAGCCTTCCCCTCATCCCAAACCTCTTCGCCACCTCATCGGAAAGTTGCCCTCCCTCTGGCCGGGAAATTAAAATCGCCAACCCAAAGCTCGCCGCAATCATTCCAACGGTTTGGAGGTCCAAATTGAATCGGTCATAGAAAACTCTAAACCTAGCAGAGAAGCGGCTAGGGTTTCAAGGAAGAAGTAGATAAAACGAGACTCAAGCCATTGTGGGAATTGGCATCTTGCCCTTTCCTCTGTGGGATTTTCCATTATATAGCAAAGAAGGTAAAGTTGTTTATCTGTACATCAACGGCTAAGTAACAGTAAATAACTTAAACTAACCTATAACTACTCGACAGGTGGATATCGTTATTGGCTAATTACAATCTCCTGTCAATGGTTGCAATGGCGTCGTCTTCTTGTGGAGTTGAATACCACTTAGGAAAACGACTTCGTGGTGATCTTCGCTGAGTACCGAGTTGAGTGAAGGGAAGCTCAACTCAGTTCTTCGTTTCATCCTTCTGCAGAGTCTTCAGCTCATTCATCTATCAATCATCGATCTGGTTCACACCCCCCCCCCCCCCCCCGGCAAGCTTGCAGACATACATCATGGACAGCAAGCTTGGACAGAAGATATGTGAATCGATCAACAGACAAACCTTTTGTGAAGATGTCTGCAAGTTGCTCATCAGTAGGAACATGGTGTAAATTGATGAGTCCACCTTTCAGTCTTTCACGAAAAACATGGCAGTCAAGCTCAATATGTTTTGTTCGTTCGTGAAAGACTGGATTTTCAGCTATATGAATAGCTGATTTGTTGTCACATAAAACTTGAATTGGTGAAGGTGGTGAAGGATGATTAATCCCATAGAATGTAAGTAGTGATTTAAGCCACTGAACTTCACATGAAAGCTGAGCCAAGGCCCTGTATTCTGCCTCTGAAGAAGATCTAGAAACTGTCTTCTGCTTTTTACTTTTCCATGTAATAAGAGAATCTCCTAAGAAAGTGCAGTACCCAGTTACTGACTTCCTTGTATCAGGGCATGTAGCCCAGTCTGA